AAGAAATATTTATGCACATAACTCAAAAAGCATAAATAAGACATCACTYCCCTAGAAGAATAATCAGAACAAAATTAACAGGGCCGACAGCAAATGAATATTGTATTTTCTCTACCTCTCACCACTCCACAGCAGCAAATGATAAATCACTGTGAATCCACTTTAATGAACKTAACCAGGTCTTTTTAATATTGTGGAAAATATCAATATTGTATCCCAATAACTGCACCCTCCTCCCAGCCCACTCCCCAAGCCAGGCTGGGATTAAACCCCAATCCTAATGACGAGGGGAAAGGTTTTCCAGCAACAGCACCACCATGTGAGCCCTGCAGATTGTTCCTGTGCTCTGAGCTGAGCACAACAGCCTGGCTGGGTTCAAAGCCAGGCTTARGCCATTCCTCTGCTGGGGAACAGCAAATCCACAGCCACGTTATCCCAGATCCATCAATATCATCCTTCAAAGGGTTTGGATGAGGCAGAGCTGCTCGAGGAAAGGGGTTTGTGCTTTGTGTGTGTTAAATGTTCCCAGCAGGAGGGAGAAGAGGAGTTTCAAGCTGTGTGAGCCAGCTGCAAACAGGAGATGGGGAGCTGGGGATGGYACAAAACCTGTCACAAACCCACTGCAGTCAAAGGCACAGCTGGGCTTCCCCCATCATCTCAGCCCTGCACCTGGGAGGAAGGGTTTGGTACCTGCTGCCATCAGCATCCTTCTTCCACCAGCACACAGAAGATGCCTAAGGATTTTAATTTCTGTATTTTCCATGTCTCTGTAACCCTGAGATTCAGTGTTTAACTCCAGACTCCACAGACAGTGCTGAGCTCCTGCTCTCCCATTTTTACACAAAACAATTYCTCTGCAGCCCCARAYTCAAGGACACCTCCCTGGGCCAGGCCCCAAGAGATGGAAAGAACAGAGAATTGGGGGAGCCAAGTTGGAGTTTTTGACTGCATTGGCTGCAGCTGCAATTGGAGGATTCAGCCCCGATTTTGTGCAAATGGACAAAAGTGAGAAAGGGTGAAAAAGCCGTGAGCCATTGTCCATTGTGGGTGCAGCCCCTGGCTGGGCTGGGACTGCCCTGRATGGYCCTGAAGGCCCTGCAAKAACAGAACTGCTYTGGATTCTCTCRATTCTGTCTGAGCTCTGCTTTAGGTGAGCCAGATTTAGGCATCACAGGATTTAGGCTGCACCTTCATCATCAGAGCCACCAGCACCCTTTAAAATGTTAATGCTGCCCTGTGGGATCCTCCCTGCAGCGCCTGCAGGAGAATTCTGTGTCCTGAAGGAGCTGAGCTCAACTCTCTCCATTCCGCTGCCGTCATCACTCATTTTCTCCTCAAGTTTTTAACGCTCRTTTTTAACCTGTCTCAGTCCTGCGGTTCAGACGCTCTTGTGGACAAACTGCACCCACCAGGGCACCTTTACTGAATGGAAAAGGTGGCTGAGGACATGCTGAACACCTCAGGAGGGTGATTGCAGGAGATCCAGAACTGTAGGAACGATGCTGTGCTACCCACRGYCGTGMCGGAGGGATGGGCTRGGAATAAAGGAGCACCATAAAACCRTGAGAATGCAGGAAAAGCTCCAGCCTGCCTCTTTCCACCTCCTTCAGCACAAACAGACAAATTCCAGGGGTTTTCCACAGCTCCACGTGCTCTGGGGTGMCCCAGGAATGTTTTCTTGCYGTGAAAAGCCRGATTGGGATTGTTCAGCCTGGAGGAGAAAAGCTTTGGGGTGAGCAAATTGTAGCGTTGCAGCACCTGAAGGAGCTGCAGGAAAGATTGACAAGGGTTTGGAGTGACAGAACAAGGGGGAATGGTTTCAAATTGACAGAGAGCAGGTTTGGATGGGATATTGGGAAGGAATTGCKCCCTGTGAGGGTGGGGAGGCCCTGGAATAGAATTCCCAGAGAAGCTGTGGCTGCTCCTGGATCCCTGRAAGGGTYCAAGGCCAGGCTGGATGGAATTTTKAGCAATCTGGGATGGTGGGAGGAGGATTTTTGAGGTCCCTTCCAACCCAAACCATTCMCTGATTCTGTGATTTTGCACTCAGAGCAGGCACGGGAGATTCACAGCCCTTCAGGCGCTCCAGAATTCTGGAATCACGCCTAGAACCAAGGACAAACACCCCAGAGTGACACCCCCAGCACCAGTTTGTGCTCCAGAGCTCCATGAACCCAAACTGCTTCCCTGGTGGATGAAACCACGGAGCACTGGGATGGCAAGGACAGCTCCAGAGCTGGACCAGGAGGGCACAAACAGTTTAAGGCTGAAGAAACAGGTTTGCACTGATGGATTTTTTCCTTCCGCTGTGTATCAGGGAGAGAAATAGAGCATTCAGCAGCCTTCAGGTGCTCCTCCAGAGCCAGAGACCCGGGGAAGGTCACCCTGGAGCCCACGTTCTGCTTAGTCCCTCGCACAGATGATCCCTCTCTAGCTCACTGCAATGCAACGCTGGCTGTGGGTCCTGGCCAGCCCAGCAGAAATTCACTGTCAGCTCAGAGGTGAAGCAATCTGCTGCCTCTGAACCCCACSGGGGGATGGCAGGGCCAAAATCCACCCCAAACCCCCCAAAAAAGCAGCAGCAGGGAAGCTCAGAGCTCGGCTTACAAGCCAAATGCCCCTGACTCAGCAGCACCGTGTTTGCTCCTGCCTGCAAGCCAAGAGCTGCAGGAAAATCTCTTTTTGGCATTGGAGAACTCRCCCTGACATTGCCCAGCTCACCTCCCATTACCCACCACATCCCTGTGCATTCCAGCAGCCTTTTATCAGATGGTTTCCAGGATTGTTTTAAACGTTTGTTCGCATTTTCTTTGAATATTTAAATGTTGTTGCCGGGCTGTTTTTCCTTCCCCGCGCAGAGCGTTGATTTATGTTGCCAGATACCAGATCTCCCTGCCTTGCCAAAAGCACGCATTTGGGAATGATTTCAGGGCTGCTGGTAATATTTTCTCCCCTCTTTTTATCCCGCACTTTTATTTTTATGAACTTTTTTGTTGGAGGCGCCGTAAAAACCAAACCGCGGCTTGAAGAAACAACGCTCGTCAAACCCCCCCCGACCGAACCGAGCTGGGAGGCAGCTGCTCTTCCCACCTGCAAACTGCTGCACAGATTTTGAGTTTCCAGTCCTTAAAAGCTTAAAAGCACAGTCCCAAGTCTCAAACACCTTCTCTTTTCACCCAGGAGGGGTGGGTAACAAGCAGATGCCAAGTTTTCAGCTCTGTGCTGTTGAGGATCTCCCCTTTTTTGGGGGATTTGTTCCCCAAACCTCACAGTGCTCCCCCCAAAGAAGGATTTTGATGATAATTCACTTTCCATCCCTTCCACTTTTTGCTGGCTCGAGTGGAGGATGTGCCCATGGAGGTGAAATTCAGGCAGCAGGGCCGGGACGGCRCTCCACGTGAATCACAAACGCCRGGGCCATAAAACACCCGGCCACCCYTGCCAGGCTCCTGCCAGCTCACAGCCTCCCTGCCCATATTTCCTCAGCTGCTTCACGCTCCACTAGCAGAGGGGAGAAGTAATTTTGCTTCAAGTGTGTCACCTGTGGAAGCTGCAAAATGGGGACAGGAATGGATGAGCCGCTTATCCACAACAAATAGTTAATAAAGGCAGMGGCTGGCTCCGCAGGGAGCAGCCAGGGGAGGCAGCTTCCTTCCCAAACAACAGAGAAAAGTGTCAATACTTGGAGGAGAGTTTCATTATCGGGTTTCTGGATGCATTTCTGCTCCCTAATCCGCGCAGGCTGCCAGGGAAAATGATGGTGCCTCTGGCTGAGCGCTGTTTGATAYGGCCAAAAGGAGSCTGAGCTCATGGGGTTTCCTTAAAWTGGGGTGGTTTTGGGGTTATCAGAGTTCTTGTGGCACACCTGGATTTGGGCTCCAACCCTTTGCTCATCGACGGAGGACAAATACATTTGTGACAGAGAAATATTTAATTTTATGGGGAGTTTTGGAGAGGGGGTTGGACAGGGCTGGGGGCAGTTTAGCTCCTCAGTGAGGCTTTAAATTTACACAGAAGAGCAAACTGAACACCGTGAAAGTCAACACAAACATGWAAAATTCACCATGAACTGCATCTCATTTACAAGAGGAAGGAGAGAACATTCCCAAAATTGAGGAAGGACTTCAGCAAGTRTGTCYRYTCATYATAAACTGCATTTCATTTACAAAAGGAAGGAGAGAACAAATTTCAGGGACGAGCTCAGCAAGTGTGTCCACTCATCATAAACTGCATTTCAYTTACAAGAGGAAGGAGAACATTCCCACAATTTAGGGAGAAACTCAGTGTGTAAACTCATCCCAAACTGCATTTCATTTTTTTTTATAAAAGCAAAGAGAACATTCCCAAAATTCAGGGAGGACCTCAGCAAGTGTGTCCATTCATCATAAACTGCATTTCATTTACAAAAGGAAAGAGCATTGCCAAAATTCAGAGATGAGCTCAGTGTGTCAAACTCATCATAAACTGCATTTCATTT